TTTGAATTTAATTATTCAAACCTTTGGGCCATTACTTGTAATTTTTACAAATTACATCTTGGGCCCTTAGTTGCAATTTTCACAAATTGCAATAAAAAAATTCTTCATGCTTCCTTCACAATGCACCCCCTCTTTTTATACATGAGGAGGTGCCTTTCATTCCCACATCTAACCGATGTGGAACTAAACCCCCTCCCCCCCTTTTTTTTACTTTCTTTTCTTTTCTTTTTTCTTTTTAACTCACACACACATTAATAATAAATTTTTTTAAAGTCTTAAAATTATATCTTAACAAAATATTTCTTATATAATTTTAAACTTAAGTTTTTAATTCATAATTAAATGCCTAACCATATTATTATTTTCAAATAACCTCAAATAATATAAATTCCTATTATTATCATCATTTTAAAAAAAATTAAATTTCATAAATTTTTTTATCTAAAAATTAGGATGTTACATTAGACATGGGATGGGGAATGGGATGGCACAAGAACGATTTCAACATTCAGCAGAAACTGTTCATAGACATTTTAAAAATGTATTACGTGCTTGTGAGAAGCTAGCAAAGAAATATATCCAACCAAAAGATCACACTTTTCAAGATATTCATTCAAAAATTTTAGGTGATCCGCAATAGTGGCCATTTTTTAAAGATGCTATAAGAGCAATCAATGGAACACATATCCTGTGCGTGGTTAGTGTTGAAGAGCAAGGAAAATATATTAAAAGGGAAAGGTATTTCAACACAAAATATAATGGCTGCATGTAATTGAGATATGTGCTTCACTTATGTCATGGCTAGATGGGAAGGGACTACCCATGATGCTCGCTTGTTTGACTATGCACTCATAAGGCTGGACATGAAATTTTCACATCTACCCCAAGATATATTTCATATTTATCTAATTTAAAATAATTTACTCAATATTTTTTGGGATCTTATAATTTTTATTTTTTTATTAGTAGGTAAATATTATTTGTTAGATGCCGGCTATCCAACGCCACATAAATATTTAGGTCCTTATAGATCTTATAGGTACTACCTCCTAGATTTCAAGTATTCATCTGGATTTGCAAATAATAATGAAGTTTTCAATTATTATCATTCAAGCTTAAGGACCACGACTGAAAGGACTTTCAAGGTTTGGAAAAACAAATTTGCGATCTTATGACACATGCCTAGCTATCCATTTGTGACGCAAGTTCGAATCGTTAGTGCAACAATGGCTATACATAATTTTATTAGAAGAAATCTGCAACTGATTCTAACTTTAGGCATTTTGAGGATGAAAATATGATTAATACTAACAATGATAATAATAAGCATGTATTTTCATCAACAATTTCAAGTATAATTTCAAGCGTAGCTTCTGATGGAGAGATGAATAGGTTCGAGATTCTATTAGAGATCAGATTATATATTATAGATCGAACCATTAATCATGTAACTATTCAATATTAATGAATGTTTAACTATTTATTACATAAATTTTTCCAAAATTAAATTTTATATTTTTTTCTTATTATTTAACATTTTAAATTTTATGTTATTTTAAATTTGTTTCACATTTTTCAAACATTGCTAATATATTATATTTTTATAATAAAAATTATAAATTATCATTCTTTAATGTCCTTTTTAGTCATTACATATTAAAAAGTACATTTTAAAAAAAATAAATTTTTGTTAATCCAAATAACTTTCAGTTTGTCAAACTAACTTTTAAAAAAATGTATCTAAATATAAATTTCGTTACAACAACTGACTTTCACCAAACTGACTTTTGTCAAGTGAACTTTCATTAAACTGATTTTTGGCAAACTGAAAATCAAACACACACTAAATATATATGCGTTAAGAGTGAAAATAAGCTACTAAATGGATTTAAAAAAAATTAGGCTTGCACACACAAAATAAGCTAACACAAGACAATTATAGTTTAATAACATTAAACGAGATTTAATTTTTATAATCACCTCATCGTTTAAAAACAGCGAAATAATGTGGCTTTATTCTTTTTTATTTTTGTAAAACTAGTGATTAATTGTTGATTAAGGCCGTCTGACATTCATCTAGGAGTGCCTAGTGACGGATGTAGAAAAATTAATCAATGGCAGTATAATTTATATACTTAAAATAAATATTACTATTTTTAAAAATAAATAATTCTAAATATTTATTAAATTATATTAATGGCATAAGTTAATAAAATTAAATATTAAAAAATGCTTAAAACATAACATTATAATAGCATAAAATACTCTCTTTATATAGATATTTTTTATATCTATTATAATCATGTTTTTAATTTTTATTAAATAAAACTGATATACCTTTTTTGCATGGTGGGGAATTTTTTGTGATAAATTTTTTAATAAACAATTTTTTTAAATTTGTGCCTTTTCATTTTAAAATTATTGCTATTTAAGTTTATAACACACACACACACACACACATATATATATATATATATAATTTTTAGATAATGGGATAAGTAAACTTTTATAAAGGGATAAGTGAAATTTTTTGAATCAAAGGGGCAATTAAAATTTTGTAGGAGGCTAAAATTATTTAGGCTAATCTAAAGTAAGTTTTTCTTAGGTTAGTGGGGGCAATTACCCCCTCTAGGGACTACAGTGCATCCATGCTAGATTGTTAAGCTTTGAAGTCATTTCTTTCCTCCTTTTCAATGTTGTTTTTGTGTTGCAATATATTTTATTAGTTTTCATTATTCTATGCCCATGTTCATTTTGTAAGAAAATTTCGTTTAATCATAGAAAGTTGTAACACAATCAATTCAGCATGACATAATAGCTCTTAAAAATAGTGTCCTTATACACAACTTAAATTGATTTCAACTGTTGTTGCTAACAATTTATAATGAAAAGTAAGTAACTCATTTTGGATAAAGAGAGGAAAATTTTATATCTAAAATTATCTAAAAAAATCATCATCGAAGTAACACCATTATATGCATTTGACTCTTTAATAGCAAAATTGAGAAAGAAATGGTTAAGAATTCTATTAAGTTGTGTTTGGATTAATAGACTTAGATTTAAATTTTAGATTTAAAATGTTGCATTTTAAATCTCACACTTAAAATTCTTGTATTTAAAATTATTAGTTTGACTGATGTAAAAATTTTAAATGAAGAATATAGATTGAGATTTGGAATGAAAATAAAAAATTGAGAACAACAAGTTTATCTTGATTTTTTTAATTGATGAGAGATTAAAATGAGATATAAGAAAAGATATGAGAGTGATGTAGGTATTAATGGTGAAAACATGAAGAAAACGAGATATTTAAAATGATTAAAATTTCAAAAGATCAAGGTGTGATGGAATTTAAAACTTTAAAAGAACTATAATATGAAATAGATTTAGATTTGAATTTGAATCAAATTTAAATTCATAAATTTTTATGCACGCAAATGAGGGAGTTGAACCACATCCAAAACTCCATTATTACAAATACTACATAAATTTTGGGTTTAGGTTGGACTTTAGTTAAAGTTAATATTTTAATAACAATAAATACTAATAGTCTAATATTAATTATAAAAAAATACATTTAGAAGTATAAAAAATATGGTTCAGATCTAGTTAAAGTTTCAAAGGAAAAAAAACCAAAATCTAAGCCAAATATTCAGCTTTTCTAATTTATAAAACCAAACCAAGCTTTACTGATAATCGATTTGATTTGATCTTTATTGGATTGGTCTAGTGCAAATAGTTTTGTTTGTTTTTGCTCACCCTTAAATAAATAACAAATTAACATCTAAACTTTAAATTTAGAATTAATTGAAACCTCAAACTCATTTTTAGTGTAATATTTTTTTTTACTTTTAAAAATGCTGCAATACTGCTCATATCATTTATAAATATTAACTTTGAATATTAGCTAACAAAAAATATAGAATATAATTATTTGGATCCTTATATAATTTTTTGGATCTTTGTCTGTAATTCTAAGTCTGTTTCTATTACTTTTTATCCTTTTTATAATTTTTAAATTCTTTTTTATAATTCTCAAGTCAATTATAGATTAAAGTTAATATCTGTTAACTATACAAATAACTTGCACCATTTTTAAAAATTAAAGAATAACATTTAAAAAAATATTTTGGAGGCTCAATGTTTCTTGAATTATAATTTAAGGACAAAATTTGATCGGAAACTCTAGAAAATACTCTATTCATTAAAAATTTGAGAGATTAAATGTTAAAAAATGTAAAATATTTTTAATCTTTTAAGGTGTAATCATTACTTTTTTTTTAAATTCGTCTCTATTGAATAAATTACTTTGTATTTTATTTTAAAGTGAAATATCTTATTAAATAATAATAAATATAAAAAAATTGATTTAATTTAAAAATAAGTAAATTATTTTATTATTGAAGGTGAGATTTAATTAAACATATTTTATATTTTTAAATAAATTGAATATTATTTTGCAATTAATTGAAGCTACTTTTTCTTTGAAATAGAACGGACTGTGTCTGAACTCGGAAGTCTCAAAAACAACTTTTGCCACTTTGAGGTTTGACAATATCAGAAATTGCCGTTACAAGAAGCCAATGAGATAACTCACCCGAGACACACGCAGACAGCTCTTTTTGGCAGGCCTTCGGAACGTGTCAATAATTCAATCCACTTTTTTTTTTTTTTTAAATAAGTTGTTATATTAATAAAAATAAATAAAATTTTCTATCCTCCTTGTTTCATTTGTCCATCTTCCCATTTGGAAGAACATTTATCCAATGATATTACGCCACGATGACAAAACCTTTATCCTCATTGGCCAGTGTACAACTGATGAAAGAGGATGTGACAACATATCCCTCCTTCCAAACAGAGATCATTCAATTGGCATTAAAAAAAAAAAAAAGCAGATGTTATTTAATGGATTAATTATTAATTAATTAATATATTTGATGTAGGGACCGGGAAAAGCCAGGGTTTACTTATTACCAAAGCACCTTTCACAATCTCCCACTCTCGTTACTTGTTTTAATATGTTGGTTTTGATCTTTGAAGCAGAAACAAAAAGTTGAATAGCAGAGGCAAAGATCCACTGTTCTGTTATTGTTCGCCGATCTCACTGTGAAAGAGAGGGAGCGAAGAAGGGGGGAGAGAGAGAGAGAGAGAGAGAGGTGGTGGAAATGGCGAGCGCAGGAGGTGGAGGGTATGGAGATGCGAACCAGAAGATAGACTACGTCTTCAAGGTGGTTCTGATAGGAGATTCGGCGGTTGGGAAGTCGCAGTTGCTAGCTCGGTTTGCCAGAAATGACTTCAGCTTGGACTCCAAGGCTACGATTGGCGTCGAATTTCAGACTCGGACTTTGGTAATCGACCACAAGAGCGTCAAGGCTCAGATCTGGGACACGGCTGGCCAAGAACGGTACTCTTTATTGCTACTTTCACGATTATATTTTCGCTTTCTTGCATGCTACTTTGAGCTGTTTTGCCTTTGTTTATTCTATTCGTCGCCCCGCGATTTGGTTCCGAAGTTTGAAATTGTCTTTTTTGTTGTCTTCGCGGATGCTTATGGATCTTTCTGTTCAGGAGTTAAATGCGCTATGTTTTTGGATCAGAGTTCGTTTCATGCGAGAATAAACTTCCAATGTCCATTAGAAATGCTCTTGTGCTGCGAATTGATTATTTGGTTTAATTTGTTGAAGTGATCTACTGATACAAAATCTGAAATAAATACTAATTCAATTCTGTTCTATAAAGTGTTTATACTTTATTATTATAGTCAGATCCCATGTATTTGGTGATCATTATAACTATAGGCTGTTAGTGTGCGATTCGAGTGATGAATCGTCAAACTGAAGTTCAACATCAAATGTGTGTGGGACACGGAAGAGGTGATGTTACTGACTTTGACAATCTTTCCCTCTCATGTTGTATTGAGTTTAGGCTTTGTTGAAGATGATTTATTTGAATGTGATATAAGATAATATAAGAAAATTTTCCATTATATATTAATTTCACGAAGTCCAAATTGACTTATTTGTTGCTGAAACAATTAGCCATGTAATGTTAACCGTCAGTTGAGATAAGATTGTCATATTCACGTCAATGGAATTATATTTTTTTCATTTACTTGATTAACAAGAACTTGGTTAGGTATTAGGTATCCTCGTTTACAAGTTTTATATTGATAAATATCAGTTCTAAGTAATGGACAGTTATAGTGGTGAGCCTTATTAATATGTTAACATGTGTGTAGAACTAAAAGAATATCAAGGAATCTCATTGAAGTTGAATATGAACTACTGTGCTCTTTCATGTTTTAGTCAGTTGCACCGTGATATTGACTTTATAGGAATTGATTCCAATACAGTCAATGATATCCTATGGAGTTTGTAAGTTTTAAAGATCCGGTGTCTTGCCCTTTCTGCATTCTGTCTCATTCTACTCTCTACTCTCAAGCAAATAAATGACAAAAGCAAAAGAAAGCAAAATTTAATTTAGGGACTGTGTTTTTTGTTCTGTTTTATATTTATTTGGGAAGAGCTTGCAAAATCATGGCTGTGTGCACATTTCGTTAAATGAGAGAATCTCAATTCTCAAGCATTAAGAAAAACATCAAATCCCATTCTATTTTCGTAATTTACTATACGTAGCCATTTTCCTTTGTGTTGACCGTCTAGAGTAATTGATTTCTCAATATTAAACAACGTCGAAATCTCAGTTTGGAACTCACACCTTTAGATTCAATCACAAATCATTAGTTTTCATTTGACGGATTATCCATCGAAGAAGGTGGCTAGGCAATTTTTGTAATGGGAGCACGCATTGAAGAGGGTGAGGGTGTTGGGATAAATAAATATAAATTACTAAATATTTTAAACCAGCAATAACTCAGGATCTGACCTTGATATTTCATTTGGATTTGAGAACTTTGTTATGTTCATTGAGGGCTTCTATAGTTGTTTTTAGTTGTTTTGACTGTGTTTGACTTAACTCGTGCCATATGATTTAAATGTTGTTTTCATTCTGGTCATATTTGCCAAGAGGGATGTATGTTGTCCTCATCTATCGTAATCATTTTTAATTTTCTGATTTAGCTTTTGTATTCCTGGATGAATTTGTGATTTAGATCTATTCACATATTTGCATTAGTAATTGTACATCATGGCTTGAACAATCAAATAGCAGGTGCATATTGCTGATTTTCCAGATATATATCTATTATCTATTTTACAGATACAGAGCAGTTACAAGTGCCTACTATAGGGGTGCTGTAGGGGCAATGCTAGTTTATGACATCGCCAAACGTCAGACTTTTGATCACATACCTCGGTGGCTCGAAGAACTACGTAACCACGCTGACAAGAACATTGTCATCATCCTGATTGGAAACAAAAGTGATCTTGAAAACCAGCGTGCAGTGCCTACAGAGGATGCGAAAGAATTTGCTGAAAAAGAAGGATTATTCTTCTTAGAGACCTCAGCACTGGAAGCAACAAATGTCGAAACAGCCTTCATGACTGTGTTAACAGAAATTTTCAACATTGTCAACAAGAAAAGCCTAGCTGCTGGTGAAAATCAAAATGGCAACGTGGCGCCACCTTCTGGCAAGAAAATTATTATCCCAGGTCCTGCTCAAGAAATTCCTCCTAAGAGGAGTATGTGTTGCCAGTCATCTTGAGTTTCTTTATAATTGTTTTCAATTTACCTTATTCATTATACGATATTCCTATTCCCAATTTTTCAAGGTTTGGTGCATTTCCTGTGCACATTTGTATCAATTAGTTTATTTTGCTTGAAGCCGATAATGCAAGTTACCTTATGCAATATAGTGGTGTTGCAAGTCCATATTTGCCCATATGGGCGTGGCTTTGATAGTTGCTGAGGTCATATTTCATTTTCTGTTCAATTTTGTGGTACGGATTGTCAGGGGCCTTCCGCAAGTATCGGTAGAAATCGATAAATCTAGCATACACAAAAACACGCATTCATAAAAGACCGAAACATTCAGCGTCATAATATTTAAATCAAATAACAATCTAACATCCCAATTATTATTATTGTCCAAATCAAGATATTAACCTTGATGTTAAATTTTGAAAGGAAATTAACTTCATTACTAGCATTTCAGGTATCAATTATTGTCCAAATTAACATTGATATTATTGTCTTAAGGGCCTGTTTGGTTCGAAGAGAAGGGAAGAGAGGGATTTTAATGGAGAGAAGATAGGGTTTTAATATTATCTTATTTGGTTTAGGAGGGAAGAAGAGGAAAAATAATTATATATGGACGACTTTACTTTTATATTATTAAAATTGTTTTTTCTAATAAAATATGATTATGAATGTTTTTAACATGTAATTACAAGTATATAGAGTTATTATCATTATTAAATATATTATTAAAAATATACAATTGTTGAACTTAATTAAAAAAATAAAGAATAACAATTAAAAAAAGGGACATTTCAGTCATCGCGTAACAAAATTTTTTCTCCCCTCCCGTCCACTTTGCCAAACCAAACAAAGGAAAAGGAGCAAAATCCCTCCCTTCCCTTCCTCAACCAAACAATCCCTAATGATTATATACTTATTTTGAAAAAAATATTAAAGACTTTCTTATAGGAGATAATAAGATTTTTTTAATTAACAATTCTCTATTCATATGCAGGTGTTACTCTCAATCTTCCCTTTACAAGGCATGCCTTTGGGATCAGGTCCTTCACAATAAATACAAATATGATAAACCTATTATCCTTATGGTCTACAAAACTAGTCCACCTACTTACACATAGATTAGTATTTGTAAAGTATGAGATACCTTTAAAGCACATGTTGGTTGGAAAGTTAGCAGGAAAGATCAAATATCCTTATGATGTGGATAAGTGGTCACCTCTTCTCAAGCCTCTTGTGACTTATGCCTCTTCTAAAGTTGATGCCATTCTTCATGCCAAAATCTCAAATTTTTGCTCAGCTACAAGTGGAAAGAATATTGAAAAAATACATCACTATCTTCATTCTAATGTGGTCTACTCCATTTTACTTATTCAACCTCCTAACCCTCATGAAGATAATAATGTTCTCAATTAGAGATTTTCTTTTGATGGTAACTTCTTCATTAAATTTGCCTATAAAGCTATTAAAAATTGTGGTGGAAATACTAATTCTAAAATTTGGACTATAATATGGCAATGACTCACTTATGAAAAAATTAAATTCTTCCTTTGAAAAGTAGTGTAGGATTGCCTTCACACCAAATTTGTCAATATTGGTGATACAAATCCTTTCATAAAAGCTCCCCGCTTCGTCCTAACTCCTCCATCCACATTTTGCATGACTACACAAAGTCAAGGGAAATATGAATGAAATTGGTTAAGTAATCCAAACTTAACACTTTCTTTTTTTTTTCTTGCAGGACTAGATACTCTGGAACATCGAATACTGTTGGAGGTCCAAATACTAGAAAAACCTTATGGAAAAGACTTTTTGCTCACTTATGCTTGAACATTTGGAGAGAACGATACAAAGCAATTTGTTCTGAGGAACACATCTCAATCAAAAATAATGTTTTCACTTGCTCACAAGATATCAATGATCTTAATTTTCAATCACGGCTTGAAAATGTGCACTTGGATCATGATAGATCTCTAGTCACTAGCCAAATGAATCCCACCCAAACTTGGCTATGTTATGTTGGACATTGATGGCTCAATTTTTACTAATATAATTGTTGCTTGTGGAGTTCTCTTTTGTGATGGCCAAAGTAACTAGATAAAAGGCTTTATCAAATACTTTATTTATCATCCTAGCACTACCACTAAACTTTTGGACATTCTCAAGAGTCTCAACCTTCATTAGAGAAATAAGTTCACCAATGTTTACGTTCATTATAATTCTCTAAAAGCTTTGATACTTATTCAACATTACCTCAACCTGAACCATCCCCTCAACAAAATTATAAAGAAAATCATATGCCTAACCATGAAGGATTGAATTATTACTTTTAATCATGTGTTCAAAGAAACCAATAAATATACAGATTGTATTATTCATCAGATTTCAAACCACCTTAACATATTGATTTTTAATGATCCACCTCCACGATGTCAAATCCTTGAGTCTGGACATAGCTTGATTTCTTCTTCCTGCATGGTTCTTCGTGGCCATGTATTAAATTTATTATAAAAAAAGCCAAAACTTTAGTTTCCCTAGAATCCAGGACTTCTAGCTGATTTGGATTTTGATTCGGTAGAACTATCTCATGCAAAACCTCATCCCTATCGAATTCGTTGGAATTTTTATCTAGCTAAGTTGCGATTTTCTTCTCAAGTGTATCTTGCCTTTCATCTCCAATAAATAAATAAATAAAAACTCATCCAAATCAAAGCAATTCCGAAGAAACAGAATTTCTTTAACTTACAAGACTTAAAAAAATAATAATATGAAGTTGAAGCAATACCTAAACTGTAACCTCGTTTTACAAAACTTGATGGAGACGATGGCAATAAAATTTACGATAATGTTACTCATAAGCATGCAAGTAAACCTATTAGCTATCGTCGCCTCCTGTAGCTGCCGAGTCATCGATGACGTTAGGGCCCTGTATTTCATCAAAGGCATTACTGGAGGGCATGTTCTCACGCACGGAGGAACCCTTTCCGGTGTCGAATCTCACTAAAAGTCTTTCAAGCAGTTCTCGGCAGTCCATGGCAGTTACCATTACTGTCAAACTGGCCCTACCTTTCCAGCATCCAATGGCTATGGTAGACTCGTCCACCTGAATGAATTCTGATGCTTCTCTTCGCCCTGCAGAGAAAAGATGAGGGCCGGGGTAAACAAAGATGTCATATGGCATTATTCACCTTCCCCACAGTATGATAAAACGATACATGCCTTTGCTTAGAACTACCACACAATAGCCTGGCGTTAGATTTTCTGCCTTTTTGCCAAACCCGGCATCAACAAAGTCTGCAAATTTTATTGTTTTGTACTGCAGAAGATGCTTGAAGTCTCCAGGAGATGCACAAAGAATTCGCTTAGTAATGTATGGCAAAATAAGAGGCAATCCTTCAGATGATATTCGGAAAGCACATGGCGCTGAGCTTCCTTCTCTTGATGTCTGTCTTTCCTGCAGGATCAGAGCAAGGTAATTTTGTTTAATTTTTTCTCGAAAACAAAGCAAGCTTTTCATCAAAGACAGTCCAGGCTAAGCAATAATATTCTATCTAATTAGCAATAAGAAGCCATAATACATCATACTTCTTTTAAATCATCCATCTTCTAAGTCATAGGTACTAAAATTTTCAATTCAATATTATAATGTGAAAAAGTTAATAAGCCACAATCTAGCTAACTAAAATCGGTTTAATTAGTGCACAGAAAAAAGCTGTTTGACTAAATCTGCCACTGATACCATGATCTATATATATATATATATATCCTTTGCTTACATAAATCTCTAGCTCTACCTTCTCCTGATCTTCATGCCTTGTCAAACCAAAAGGTCACTATAGGCTCTTGCACTGTTTTTTATTTTTATTTTTATTTTTTTATCTCAAGCTTGCACTGTTTTATTTAAACTAAGGAGGCTAGACAACACTACCACTAACCATATCACAATTTCAACGATGAAGACTTAAATACACTTACAAACATCTTCAGACCAAGGGATGCTATTTTGAGTTGCTGCCCAACTGAGAAATTCAGTTCAAGAACATCTTTGACTGACTTGCTGACATAGTAAATTCTTTTCACATGGCCTCTATCTTTGTTTCTAGTGACAAGATGACCATTGAATGGAAACCTTTGATCAATACCATAAAAATCTTTTATGCTGTTAATAGTGACTTCATCTCTGAAAAAGAAAACAGGATCAACGCCTCTCCACTTGCCCTGAATCTGCAGCTTTCTTTTCCCTGGAGTCATTTTTACTATGCTTTCTGTTTCAAGAGGCTTATGCACTTCCTCTGAATCCCCTTCTAAACATGCACCAGAAGGACTAGCTTCCAAATCTTCTGTGTTGTGTCTGTTATTAATTACATTAACCGCTTCCAAAGCTTCCTCACGTGTATTTTCTAATGAATCGACCTGCAATTCCTTTGAATCCTCAATGTCCTGGTTCTCTGGTTCTCCATGCTGCTTATCAATTCCATTTTTGCGTTTCTCTGGAACAGGAATCACCGCAAAGAAGAAAATACTGACAAATCAATTATGGTACACAACCAACAAGGAAGGAAAATCTGCGTAAGAATGAATGTAATATGGAAAATATGACTACTGACAGAAGAATCGGTACCATGATAACCAGGAATTCTCGACTATCATCAACAAAAATAATCATAGGGACAACTAACGTCATGTTTAAAATTACCTGGAAGAGGAGAAACCTTTTGCAGTACCGCAATAAAGAAAGCTCCAGTGTTTTGATCGTGAGGCACTATCCTCATGCAATGCTCTAGTGGTAAATCAGAAACTTCCTCAATAAACTTATAAGTCACAGGGTTCTCTGCTGCTCGATTGCCGTCTTCAGAGCTTACACAAACACCCTTATCAATATCATTTTCCATCACCGCCTTATGATTACTGTCAACAAGATCCTCATACTTTTTGCCAGAAGGAAACATGCTGGGAAGAACTGCACTTCTTCGATGCATGGGAACATCTTTATAGGAAGCCAACCACAAGCCCTTGTCGCGTACCTGCATCTCCAAAATCACCCCTTTCAGAAATATCAAAATACCTACTGCTGTACAAATCCTTCCACAAATGAAGCCGCAAAGCTAATCTCATGCACTCGTTTACATATCTAATAGCTTCTACCAGAGATAAAAGCAATTGTGGGACTAGATTTTTGTCATTCCACAAGACTAGATGGACAGACAACTTAGTAATTATGATATATTTAATTAAAAAATCACCAACCAAGACACCATCCAAACATTATCCAACCGATTAAACAACAGTCCAATTCCATTAATTTGATAGAAACACACACAACTTATACTAGCAGTTCCAAGTTGAAAGAGACAAAGCTTTTAGGCTTTGGAAAGAATTTTGTCAACAAGAGCAAAAGATGCTGTGTTGGAATACTAGGGTAAAAGACAGAAACTTAAGAAAGCCTCCCAATCACACAAGTTTGCTTCAAGATCCGTTGGATTGCTGTGCGAAAAAAGAAAGGGAAATGCAACCTGAACAGGAAAAATGTACAACAGTAAATGAAGGGGAAATACTGAGGTTTTTACTATTAGAAGTCAAAAGGAACCAAATCAGTGTTACACAATGTTCCTTGCTGATTCTGGCCATAACCCTATTCCCTAATACATCCAATACGGAAATCAACTTCAGCAAAATAAGCAAAATACTGAAACAAAATCAACCCACACTACTGGTCATTTGAGAGGCCATATTCTCCTCGCCACACTCAGTTTTCAAAATACATCATATGGGCCCTCAATACAGCAGAAAGGCCTTCAAAAAAACCAAATATTAACTCATGCCACTTCCAGCACAGCTATACCTCTAGCCAGCCCCCAAAACGTCACCCGTCTAGTTTTTACTTTTCCTTGAAACTAGGATCCATTGGGCAAACATCAGAGCCAGAAGAGTTTTTCACTTCTAGACTCTGACAGAGTAAAATACGTTGATGTATAAATATTAAATACTCTTGTAAGAGGGTGGTTTCTCTTACTAAAGCCGAGAAAGCTGACTAACATGCTCAAGCAGCTCCACTTTGACTTGTGTAGGAAATAAAAAAAGTGCAATTCTTGTATTATATGTATCATCTTCAAATGATTGAATTTAACAAACAAGTCAAGGAAAGATTTGGTTGGAAAAACACAAACCTTCCATCTCTTGAGACCAGGCCGACGCAAAAGTTGAGGGCGCTCATTTGAGACATCAACAAGTTCAACAGATCCTTCACACCTCCGTAAAACCTGCAGTTCATCAAAAAATTAGATAAAGAGCATTAACCACAGCCCTTCACAGAATAAAAGTCCAAGTTATGAGGCATGAGTGGTTCATCCACATTAAAATAAATAGATAAATGGTTTATCAAAAAATTAAATAGATAAATGACAGCTAACTCTAGAACTAGTCATTTCACCAGTTATCTTCCATCAATGAATTTACACAATGCTATAAAATACTATCTACAAACTAAAGCTTGTGAACCCTTGTGTTGGGGGGGATTAACGAAAGCTTCTAGGTGAATGCATTGTCATAAGCACAAAGAAGCATTTAAACACTTATCAGAAGTCCCTAATAATACTGCCAGGGGAAGAATTTGGCTATCAAAATATTACTTCTCAGTACTTCCTTCAATATCATAAGGTAAAGTACATAAGTACATCCTCAAGGCAGTCAACCAAAGAAGTTCATGTGTTGCAGAGGTTTAGCCAGGATTAAAGCATTTAAGATGACATGATAAAAAACATGATAAGGTGATTTGAAACAGCAGACATGATTTGGCAGAGAAGAGACATACATAAAGATGCTTAGCATTAACGATGGAGTGTTCAGACATTTTAAAACCTCTAGGGCTTCAATTGCATAAAAGTAAATGGGTCATCTGCATTGTATCATTGATACCAGCTACTCATATACAGGTACACATTTAGATGTCAACATGACATGATTATATACAGAAATGCTCTGCTTCTCTTTTTTGCCTCTTGAGGCAGTAATTTTGTTTTATTGTTTACAATTTGATCTACGAACTGTGATAGTCCTGAACATGGTAAGTAAAAGAACAAACACCAATGGAATGGACATTCAAATAAAAATGTGCTACTTCATCTAAATAAACGCAAAGTACAAGCACACAACCAAACAGCCAAAAATCAAGCACACTAACAATGATACGTAAAAATCTTAAGAGTCCACATACTACTTGAGTGACATGTCTAGTTACACACAATACACATGTTAAACATGGGCATTGCTCAGTATCTAAGGGTAGTGCTATGTAAACAGACAGACTACATAACATGGCTCCTGGCTACACAGAAAAGACCAGTGCACCCAAAGCTGATTACCTCTGCAACCACAGCTTCATTCTCAATTGGATTCATTGAGCAGGTTGAATAGACCATTCTTCCACCAACTTTAAGTAAAGATAAGCCTGAGAAAGTCAATACAGCTGCTGAGTTAGGCAAAATCATCTTAAAAACCAAGTCTTGACAACCCTAGCCAATGTATAATCAGCTAGGACAATTAAGAATCCAGTAGTTTATCAAAAATTTTGAACTTTGGCAACCGAAGGAAGTCAGTTTTAAACTCTTCAATTAAAAAAAAAAAAAAACTCACTGTAAAGAGCAAAACACAGCAATGTAAACAAAACAACAACCAACTAGGCCAGTCCTTAAAACTTATGAGTTGGGTTGCTAAACAACATGAAAGCTATTTTTCCATTAGTCAAAGATTAAAGAATACAGTTGCACTATATGATATGGCTTGATCCGAAAAAGAAATAAAAACCAAAACCTCAATGTTAAGCCACAGAGAACTTCCTGTAGAGAAAACTGAGTTGGCATGGGCCAGTGAAGTGCTTAGAAATTTATTTCTGTGCTTTAACTTTTTGCTAATTAATGCAACACATGAAAGCATGGGCTGGACCTGAGCTTTATCATAACCAGCATTGGCCACAGATACAATTTTTTTTTACTAGAATATCAAAGGAAATATCATGCCAGGTCTAATGTTGTGCTTGGCAAGAGAGAAAAGTAGGAGGAAGGGAAAAGTGAGAGAAAAATTGGGAGAAAATGACATTATCTCCTGCTTGACTAAGGAGGGAAAAATGATAAGGAGAGGAAATTGGGAGGAAAATAACATGTGAGACCCACATGTTTCTACCTCCAATTTTTGTCTCCAAATATAAGGAGATTTTGAAAAGAAAACTCAATTTTCAAATTTAACCACGAATCTTTTTTGTTTCCCCTGTTGCCTCCATCTATTTTCATACTAATTTTCCCTCCACTTTAGAATTTAGATTATTATATTTTAATAATTTAAGAAATAAAAATACAAATTGGACAAAGTAATTTATTTTGCTACCACCGGATAAAAGAATTGACAATTATATTTTCATTTAATCAGTAATATGCAATAAAAATTATATAAATATGTTATGATATCAAATTTTATTATATATAAATATTTTTCTATAAATAATGATGTTATTATTGTCCATATAAAATTAACAATTTTTTCTTCCTCCCATTTTTTCTCACTCAGCCAAGCATGGAGAAAAAAAATTACATCCCTCCACTTTTCTTTTCTCTCCATTTTCTCTCCTCACATCTTCTCTTCTCACTATTTTCCCTTGTAAGCCAAGCACAGCATAACAGTGGAAACCCATAAAATTAACAAGAGAACAATCAAGAAGTACCTCGCATAGCTATTAGAACTTGCAGGCTGTGAAGCCCATTGCCCATTCCAGTATTCCTGCATACAAGCCAAACAAATGTTTACCAAAAAGACAGAAAAAGGGAGAAAATATGGTAATTGAAGAGGAATACAGAAGAGAAAAAGATTGAAAGCTATACTACCATTTCCTCCAAAGATCAGGTGCCTTGCGAAGGGTTCCATCTCCACTGCATGGCACATCACAGAGAATGCAATCAAATAAAAGTTGGCCAATATGCTGTTCTAGTTCCAACAATTCATGATTTCTGACTAAACGACAGCCTGGGAAGTTCTGAGCTTCATGATTAGTGACGATTAGGTTGGCTGTGCACATCCGTTTAGTTTGGTGGATGAGAAGATTGCATCTTTGGACATCAAGATCATTTGCTATCACCTAATAATGAAAAGAGTCTAATCAAACAGAAGTTGCATCATAGCTGATGTGATCAGAAAAATAGCTAATACTTATGCAACTTCTGCTCTTGAAAATCAAATATGATGAAGCCAGCCACCAATACATAATACAAACTAAAAAAAAGAACGTAGTAAGAAAAATAGAGTGGCATTGCATGAGTAAAAGGGCAGAACCATTCCATCAGGAAGAGAACTGGTTTTAGTTGACTGATGTATAATCTCAAGCAATTGGAATGTTTTCGAACCCGGTGCCGCACACACTAAAGGAAAGCAAAGTCATAAGGAAAAAAGTCAGAAACATTTAAAAATAACAAATCAAGCATCAGAGTAAACAACTAATGAAATGCCAAACTTGTATATTTTTAGCATTAGGAAAATATACATTACAAAAAGAAAACATACAATAAACAAGAATAGTAAAAATAAAATTACTTCAGTTAATCAGAAATTGCTTACTATCAAGCACAAAATGATTTGGCTGCACATTCAAGAAGAGGGGAGGCACCTGCATCACAACCAGCCATTTTACTTAAAACTAAATTATTGGAAAGCAAGAGCAAACTACATGCACCGAACCATTCAGCTTTCTAAGAAAGAAAAGAATAATTGTATGATCTTGAAGATTTAAAGACAAAATGTAAACTGGCCCACCATGCTGACAGCTTCCTGTCTTGTAATATTTCCAATTTCATTTTCTAGCTTTAAGAATTCATGGAACCTGAGAGATTAATATAATCAGAAACAGAAATTGGAATATTCATTTTAAAAACTAACTCATGAGTGATTCATTTCAATTAATTGGCCAATAGCACCATGCATGCAGACACAAATGATGAGAACAGCACATATCTAATTACTGCAGGAGTTATGCAATAACCAGTGACTTAAAGAATTGCCTGCAGTTAGATGTCCTATTTTAGAAATGTGTTGTATTGGCAGAACTGATATCCAATCCTAAAGTGACAAACAAATACAAAAGACTTCGGGAATTCTTCAGTTTCCTATTGACTAATAAAGACAACAAATCAATCACAAACCACATGATAACGTTCTAAGGGAAAGGGGGAAAAGTGAATGGGTATTTATAGCTTTGCATCATGGTAAGGTTAATACATGACAAATCTGGTATTAGTCAAAAAATGAAAGGAAATGCAACTGAATTTGTTATCATCTTTAATGCTGAAGAAAGCGTATTTAGATTCTAGGAGAACGCCTATAACTAGATCATTTGGTTTGCTCTATGTTTTCAATTCGTCAAATATCCCAAGTTATATTTGGTAACCAGTTTATCAACATTCTACTCGCTCTCTCTGTGAAAGATGAAGTGAAAGAAAAATGGAAAAAGAAGGTCAAGCGTTACAGAATAATTGTTGAAATACTAATAGAAGGTACGATTGTAACTAATTCTCTAATGGACTGAACTATAGCTGTTAGAATAGACGTTGAGATGGATTCCTCTTAACTATAAAATGGAAATCCCATGACTTGCAATGACTGTTGAAGTAATAGGAGAATATTCTTGTGGATTGAATTCTATGCCATACAGCCACAAAGTAATTTTTATTTTTAGATGAATATATGCAGACCAGAAAAGGTTAGGTAGAGAAGGACAGACAATAATGAACCGTCCCACTCCTAAAAAAAGATAAGAAAAATGTATTAAGAAGAGGACTCTTCCCCTCCAAGGTATGAATTCTTCAATCTCATATTTTATGTACAATGTAGTTTAAAAACAACTTTGGCCACTTTTCATGCAAAAAACTTAGATAACCTCAGATTAAAATTGATCTACCTCTCAAGCGCTTGATTCTTCCTCAGCTGCATACGGGAGAAGTTTGAATGCCAAGCAAGATTCTCAGGATACCATGGCAAAGGTTTAATGGCCTCTGCCTCATCCCCTTCAACAACCTAGTAAGAATAATTAACAACCAAAATACATTTACAATAAAAAACAAAGGGTAGCATAATGATCATAATAATATAATTGCCGACTAACCTCAGCCTGAAGAGTTTGCACAAAATCCTTCTCCAATTGCGACCTAAGATCAGCAGAAAACTGGCTACTGCAAGAGGCAAAAGAAATGACAATGTAATGTAACAATGCATCAACAGAAACTGAAGGAATCAATCAGTTCAATGAAATTCAAATGTCAAAAAGATGAACACGGCAGCACAGCAAATGCTTTTTCAGCTCCAAATTTATTTTCGAATATCAAAGCATTAAAATGCCGCTATTAACCCAACCTCTCGTAGAAAGTGGAACCACAAAATGGACGTAAATCAACATTAGCAGTCAGTAATGGAGTAGAGAACTTGTTGGCCAGTAATTACCAAGCGTTAATTCTGAAGCTAGCAGGCAATGGGGTTCTGAGAACTGCAACAAATGCATCCCACTCTTCTGGAGGTACTATGCCCTGCTCCTGCAAAGGGATTAGCACAAAGCGTGATGAAAACAGAACAAGCAATCTTCAGAAAAGAAGCCATTGATGAAGGGGGGAAAACAAACTTTGTAATACTCATCAAAAGTAGAGTTCTGAGTAGCGAAGGGAGTCCAAGTAGAATTGGGATTGTCGGTGGTGGAGTCAGGGTCTTGAGAAGAAGGATCGGGTTTTGAACGTTTCCACTCATTCTCTCTGCTCTGCCGGAAATGCTTTCGTTGGGTGCGAGACTTGCCTCGCCCGCCCATACTGCTGCTCCTTGAAGGCTTGAACGGCTTGGTTTGTTCTTGACTTGGACTCCCAGTGGCCAATACGACTTCGATCAATGCTATGCTTCGGGTTAACCACCCTTCTCCTTGGTTAGGGTTCTGCACGTCCCTGCTTAACACCTCTTGATTTTTTTGTTTTTTTGAATAAGGGTCAATAAGGTCATAATACATGTAGAGTGAAAACGCTGTGTTTTTTTTTTTTTTTTTGGGAGGGTGTGTAGATAATAACCCCAAAAAATAATTAGCGCCTCCTGATAATTGTGTGTGGTATATAAAATTTTAAATGACAGTGAAACTTTTATTTTCTCAAATTTATTTCGATTATTAATTTAATTTTTTAAATTTGTTTCAATTATTAATTTAGCCCTTTAAATTTTCTCTAATTATTAATTTGATCTTCATTATTTAAATAGGAAATAACACTGTTACCATTAGCTAACACAAATAACAGAATATTACTAATGGTAATATAAATTAATGAAAAAATATAATTATTTAAATAAAAAATTAAAAAATAAAAAAAATAAAAAGAACAAAACAAGGAATAAAAATAAATTAATAAAAATTGAATTGTAAAGTAAATATATTAAAGTGTCACAAAAAGCTACAGAGCCAAATAAAACAAAAAAAAAATTAGCTACAAATAAAATTGGCCCAACAAAAGAAAGTAGAAATGGAAACGTTTCATTCAATCCCTATTTCAAATCCATCCTTAAATATAGACTTAGATTGAGAAAAGCCACTATAACATTAACTGCCAAAACATTAGATAAAAGAAATGATGGTGTTTCCATTCACATAAATAGATATATATTCTTATAAGTATCAGTCGTCCGATCAACCGCTTTTCTACTTTTACTATGAGTGAAAGAAATAGAAAACTCAGTATTAGAGGTCATAAAGTCCATATTGTCCAAAATCACACCCCTACATATACATTCACAAAGCTTTAGTCAATAATATCATTCACACAGCTTACCAGGGTCATACAGTCACTTTGGAAAATAATTTTTTCATACCCTAAGTCTACAGCCAGCATAATTGCTTTCTTTAAAGCCATATCTTCAGACATGAAGGCAAAGAGTGATTAATTTGAAGAAAAATTTACTCCCAAACCAAACATAAATTGTCAAGGGCGGAGAAATAGCGTGTGTTCATTTAACATAGGGGGTAAAAAAAAAAAAACAAAGCACCAAACAAGCATTTGAGATGGATTATTATTCTTACGCACATGTTGCCTCCTATAATTATTAGCCTATCGAACTTGCTAATTCAGGTTACCAAAAAAAAAACATGATTAAAATATTTACTTCATCCATTTCTCTTCATAAGGGCATGTTAAAAATTTTAAATTAAAAAATTAATAAAATTCAAGCATAGGATTTGGATTGTTTATTAATTAAAAAACAAATAACATATGAAGCTTAAGTCCCTTCACCCAATGCTGTTGGAAGTAGCTTTTACATTTTCAGTTTGCATAATGAGTGATGTTAATTCATTAACTATCCATATTACCCATCTTGTAGCCAATTACATTTTTTTTCCACCACTGAACACTTTTTTTTCTAGTCCACCTTCTTCATGCTATTTGTACAAATAGTATAATGAGACTTTTTTTTTTTGAAAGATATGATTTTAGAGGTCTTTAATAATTGATATGTTATAAGTCTAATCTTGTTATTTCACAATAAATTTTGATCTTGTTATAATTTAAATTTTATATTAATTATACATTCTTTTATTATATATATTATTTACCGTATCAAATTTTATACTCCCCCTGTTTCAAATTATAGGATATTTTTGAATAAGTTTTTTTATTTCAAAATATAATATACTTTGGGTAGGTTAAGGTTTCATTAATTATACCAATTTAAATACTACCCTTTCTTTTTCTAAAATTAATTTTCAGATATTTTTAAAAATTTATATTTTTATGTTAGAAAGATAAGGTTGTTGAGTGTATTTAATGAGGTTTATTAGTATGTGAAATTTTATTTAAAAGTATTTTATAATTTAAGACAGAAGAAGCAATATTTATATATTTTTTGACAAATCAAGTTTTACATAATAAAAATTACATACCTTAAAATCTATGTCTTCTTTTTTAAGTAATTATACATTTTAAAATATATTTCATCATATATCACCCAAACAACTTTCTATTTATTAAATTATTTTTTAAAAAAATATATATCTTAATACAAATTTTTTTATGAAAACTAACTTACAATTTTTTTTGATTGTTCAAAGTATCTTAACAACCGGCAGTCGTGAAATTAATTATTCCGAAAATCTAAACATGCACTATTTAAAGGTTAAATAATACTCAAATTTAATGAGATATTAGTCTCACAATCATCGGCTGCAAGAATATCTTAGTAAAAATACAATTCATTTTTGTCAAATAAATTGTTAACAAATCAACTTTTGATAACCTAAAATCTAAACACATATTAAAGCTACTCCAAAACGCCGATGTATATAAATAAGAATTCTGGGAAATGAAAGCGATGTCACCTAATCCCCACTACTTTGTGCCGAAACCAAGACAAGCAACCTCCAATCACGATCCAGAAAGCAAAATCTGAAGTTCCAATCCTCAACCTAATGAATGAATCATTAGCTTTTTATGCCAACCTACTCGAAAAAGAAGAACTTATCTTAAAGTGCTTTTTTCTCCCAAACACACACACACACACACACACACACAAAGCTGTTCTGCAGAGAACCACCGCCAAAATGTCTTCGGTGAAAATTTTATGGGGAAAAATGTCACGTAAGGATACCCATAACTTTGTAATAGCAAAAAGTGATCCTATAATTCTGAAATATTACAACACTTCCCTAGGATCTAACTGAAAATAAAATTTAGGGGCCAAGATCATATTACCCATGCTAAGTGAACGAAAAATACAACTGAACCAATGTCCCTTTGTTACTAATACATAGTTACTTATTAATACTCAAATGATTGCTTGTTTATTGAGAACTAATAATTGTATAATTATTATCTATCGCATCAAGTTAATGAACAACTTAGAAAAATTAATAAAACATGTTTAATTATATAAGTATTGATCATGAATAAACAAATAATCATTCAAGTATTAACACGTAATTATATGTGAATAACAAGTGGACATTTGTTCAACCATCTTTCACGTTCACTTAACAAGAGTGAAGGGTGATTAGCTCTTTTCTCTCTAAATTTTATTTTCAATTAGGTCCTAGAGTGCAGTGATATTTTAGAATTATAATGTCTTTTTTTATTATTAAAAATGGGATTTTGCATATATAGATCAAATCAAGATAACATCCTAATATTTCTTATATTTTGCATCGTGACAGCTTAATATTTCTTATTGATATATTATTGTATATTAACAATAACGACTTTTATAAATTTTGTTGAAATTTTGTTATTAATGAAGTTTATCAATGATATACTAATGTAAGCTGATCATACTCTCAAATTTTTAAAAATTTAGTCCATATTTCCTGGACAATAGCTATATTTCGGCCAATGGGCCAATTTTTTCTATAAAAAACTATAAGGATCTTTAGGTCATATTTTTCCATTTTATGTTGTCAATCCAGCCTGGTCATTTCTTTTGATTGTTCACCAAATGGATTTAATTTAACAATTACTTGGTGTATTATATTTCCTCAAGTCCTATATTTAATTATGATAGAAATTGATAAAAAAAATTATAAGTTACTTTACGTAAAAAATAATTTTTAATTACTTTTTTAATTTTACCATTCCTTAGCTTTTTATGGTTATATGGTAAACTGTTACATATGAAAGAAAAATTATTTTTAAAGATGAGATATTTAACAATAATAAATTAAAATTTTTTATCTTTTTCAAACAATATCAACAATTTAACTATGACTCATTAAAATTTCACTAAGTTAGTTAAAAATGACTTAAATATAAAACGGGAGTAATTACATGTTGATTCTCGTATCAACCCTTTTCTCTCTCTATCAAACTAATTTCACACAAAGGAGAAGCTCGTTTGATATCCTATTTTCAAAACAAAATTGTTTTGAAGTTAGACCAAAAAAAGTGTTTTAAAGAATAAAAAATTAAAAAAAACATGTTTTTTACTTTTATTTCACCACTTTAAATATGTTTTTTGGAACAATGATCCAAACACTTTTTTTTTCATTTTTATTTCTAAAACTTATTATACAAAATTGTTTTAAGAACATATAAAAAAACACAATCAGTCCAGCCCAAAAGCGAATGTAGTTTTGCTTGTTTTCATCATGCCTCTAATACATAGAGTTGTGCGGTAGCAAAGCTAACTTTTGAAGATTAATCTATACTTTTATTATAACTTACTAATACTAAAAAAGAAAATACAAGTATTACTCCCTATAGTTTTAATGTGTTTTGGCATGTGTCTCTATAGTTTTTTTTTTTTTTTGTTACTCCAAATCCTTCTAATTTATTCCGTCTACAAGATTATCCCTCTATTTTCTAATATTCTAGGAGGATGATGAAATTGCACTAACAGTGTTAAATATGTTGAAGACTAACAGTATTAATATTTGTGTTGATGTAGAATTAGGCTTCAACAAATTGAAACCTAAATCTTGAAACAGAACAGAGTGGACAATACTATTAATATATTAAATCATAATTTCATTCAATGCATGTTAATAATGTTACTCACAGTTCAACATATTTATTATTGTTAGTCTCCTTTCATCATTCTTTTGGACAAATTCAAAAATAGAATGAATAATATTGTAGACAAGATAAACTAGAAAAACTTGAAACAATAAAAAAAATTATAAAAACTTGTACCAAAACACGTTAAAACTATAAAGATGAATTCTCATAATTTCTTATACTAAAATATGAAAGATCAAATATTATGCATGTGTGTGTGCATGGTTTTCACATGAGATAGCCCTTAGGTTGCATTTTATTATTTCTCTCTCATTTAAATAATTAATTTTATGTGCCAAAATATGAGTTATTATGTCACATGCATTTATTTAATTAATTTCATTCATTATGTGACATAGGTAACACATGCATACTTAAACTTGCATCAATTGGTCAAGAAGGTACGCGAGGACATTAAGGACTATAAGTT